CAATGACTTCCACCACAGTAATTTTCTTAGGTAGATTCAAACTAGAGATGCCAAGAACTCAATCTTGGTAAGGAGGAAGAAGAAAAATGGGCAAGGACACTCAACTTTATTTCTGAGAACTGGAAATTCTAAGTAATAACTTCATCCAGAAGTATTCAATTCAGACCTTCAAATAGCCTGGTGTTTTCTGAATTAGATCCTTGAGTGCCATCTACTGCTACCTTTATGAACTTCCAATATATTTCAACCAAAAATCAAGTATTCAAAATTTAATTACAATGAAAGGAGCTTGTTATTGCTTAACATTTTATATTTCATAATTTAAACACAGGAGAAAGCAGTTATAAATACAATACGTACAACAGTATTCTTAGCCACCTGCAAGGAAACCCAAACAAGGCAAATGGAAAAAAACATACATTTGGTTGGAAAAGAGACCAGCCTAAAATTCTGCCATTGTGTATTTGCCTAAGAAGATGGCAGCAAAAAGCTAACCTTGGTTGATCTTGAAAGATGCTAAGCAGGATTGCCAGGCTACTGTGGGAAGTCACCCCCACCCAGAGAAGGAAATATTAAAGAGGCAGAAAAGCATGCCCATTTTTTCTTAATAGCCCAAGTCTCCCTCCCCCAAACAGAAACCAGCTCTGTAGAAATGCAAATGTAAATAATCCAGGAAAATTGGAGGGCCCCAGCTAGAAGCTTATGAAGACAAAGACACCTAAAATCTACATACCCCACCCAAACTCTAAGACAGGACATAATTGGATTAATAGACAGATGCCAAAGGGCACACTCAGACTCAATCAAAGTTCATGCAACAGGAACAACTCCAAACAAAAGGCTCCAGAGGATATAAAAACCCACTCCCTACATGTGCTCACTCTCTTTTTTCTTCCAGAGCCATCTTCCTGTCTGGCTCTCCTGCTTCTTTCTAAAGCAGTCGCCATGTTGTTTATTCCCGGCTTGGACTGAACCATGATGAAGACTTTTCCTTCAACATTACCACTGAATGAAAGATTGTCAGAAACTCCCATGAGAAATAACTAGAAATCAATTGCCAACCACATAAATACTATTGGCAAGAGCAAGACATGTCCACATTGGCATCAGGAGCCAAACGTGACTCAAAGGAGACTTTGATAACTCCTTTTTTTCAGATAGGTTGTAACATCAGTCACTAAGCAATCAGTCATAAGTTGAAGATCACCTGTATTTTTGCAATTGATAGAAGCAAAAGAAAGGTCTTCAAAATTTAATATTGAAAGAGAAATTTAAAATTGAATTTGCTGCAGTGGAAATTTACTGAGTGGAGAAGCTATGATGGGAAACAGGAAAGGTTAACATAAAGAAAGGATGTAAAAGAAATATGTAGGCAAAAATAGCTGGGTCTTAGAGTGGGAAAGGAAGAAGACAACATTTGTAAGATAAGATAACTAGCAAAACAGGAAAGAACCTATTTTTGTAAGAAGTCATAAAAAAGGGGGCCAGAACTCAGGCAACTGAGCATGTGCAATTAGTTGATTAATATTAACTGATACACCTTGCATAAATTATCTCTTAATTTTAATGTACATGTGATGTATGACAAAGAATTGAGGCCTTTGAACAATGGTGCTGGAGAAGACTCCTGCGAGTCCCCTGGACTGCAAGTCCTAGAGGAGATCAACCCCGACCGCTCTTTAGAAGGCCAGATCCTGAAGTTGAAATTCAAATACTTTGGCCACCTAATGAGAAGGAAGGACTCACTGGAGAAGAGCCTAATGCTGGGAAAGATTGAGGGCAATAGAAGAAGGGGACGACAGAGAATGAGGTGGCTGGATGGAGTCACTGAAGCAGTAGGTGTGAACTTAAATGGACTCCAGAAAATGGTAGAGGACAGGAAGACCTGGAGGAACGTTGTCCATGGGGTCCCGATGGGTCGGACACGACTTCGCAATTAACAACAAAAGGAAATATGTAGGAGGCAGTCAGAAAGAGTGTAACCTCATAGTACCTCAGCCAATGGGGAAAGAGGAGGGATGTAGCGGCCGGGGACAGGACTGCGTAAAAGAAGGAAATATTTTGGGTTAAAACTTTGGAGAGAACCAAAGTTTGATAGCTTCTCTCCCCGCTTATTGCAATAAACGAAACAAAAGGCCTTCACTGTGTCTTGGCTGGTTATTGATCAGGTGAGCTTGCCTCTGGTCCCGAAGGAAAGTAGCCAGGAGCACATAACAGCCTAATCAACAGGCAACCTAAAAGGAGCTGTAAATAACCACCAATGTTGTAGTCTTCGCAATCAGGTGTGCCCCCTTTTCAAAGTCACACTGACTTCATACGTGGAATTCATTTCATTATTATACCTGTCAGTTAATAAGAATGTCAGCAGCAGCGACTACGAGAGCAGTAAAAGTGGCAGTTAATGAGCAATCATTACTTCTAAATAGGTGCCTTTAACATAGCTTGTGAGGACAGAAACTTTTAATGAGCTCTGAACGATGGGTCCATTTCCTGATGGGGACAATCATTCGTAATGCAAAATATGTTCAAGTAGTAAACTATCCAATTAATTTCTAGAAGTACAAGAAACAACTGTTTTATTTTCACCAATCTGGGACACATCTCTGTCAAAGTTGTGGTTAAATAATCTAGAAGCTGCTTACTGTTACCTGCTCTTGATTGCATTTGATCTCTGAATTGTGGGCAGCAATTCAATCATTTGTGTCATTTTGGTATCTTTCCAGTTGGAACTGTATTTGGCATCTGAAATTTTTTTTTTTAAGTTTGGTATATTTGTCATATATTTCATGAGGCAGTGGGACAGTTGATTTTTTTTGTTATTCACTAGATTTAGCATCTGACAATACTACAGGTAGATCTCAAGTTACAACCTCGAGTTCTGCAATTACGGTCGTTAAGTCTTGATGGTCATAAAGCGGGTCTGCATGCGACCCACCCAATTTTACAAACTTTTTTGCAGTGGTCTTTAGGCAAATGCGGAGGTTGTAAAACAAACATGGTGGGCATTACACAAATGCAGAGGTCTTTGAGCAAACGCCACATTTGTTAAGTGAAATGTAGGGGCTGGTTTTTGACAGAAACCAGACATAAATGCTGATTTACAGAAAAATGTTATAAATTGCTGTCACATGACCCCAGGGTTCTGCATGTGGCTGTAAATATGGGCTGGCTGCCAAGCACCCAAAATGCGGTCACATGACTGGGGGGAGGGAACAAGCAGCCGTTGGAATTTCAAAACCAGGTTGTAAATACCTTTTGGAGTCTATCAAAACTACAAATGATCTCAAGTGACTGATCATAAATTGAGGACTACATGTATCATGCAGAATACATGATCTAATAGTCAATCTTGTAAGAAGCTATTAGACAATTCACAAAACTGGAAATAATACAATATTTTATTTCCTGAAGTTGGTTTGTAGTTCTGAACATAGCTGACCTTGGGTGATAAACTCCCTTTTTTATTACCCTGTAATCCCTTAATTCGGGGTAGGGCAACTGGATGGAGCTGAGCGTTTACTGGCTGGATGCCCTACCTCACGCCACACGGGAGTTCACAGCAGATATTTTTTTCTTTGCGCCGATAAACATCTGTCGCTGTCTAGGATTGAATTCTCAACCTTCTGAATGGGAGGCGAGTCTTCACCACTAGGCCACCACGCTGCTCACCTTGGGTGATAAGTGTTGTTCTGTTCCACCATTACCCTCTTGAAATTATGAGCATGAAGTTGATAAAAATGCCTTTCATATTGGTTACTGCTAATACTACAGTTTAGAAGCAGGTTGAAAATGGCTTGGATAACTTGCCCCTCTGTTCAATTAAAAATGATATCCTTTCATTTCCTTCCAGAAACACCCCCCCCCCACACACACACACACTTCATCCTTAATCACTGGGAATTATGGAGGCTTGACTCCAACAGCAGTGTTCCAGTATCTGAGGGGCTGCCACAAGGCAGAGGGGGTCATCTTATTCTCCAAAGCACCAGAGGGAAGGATGAGAAACAATGTTTGGAAACTGATTAAGGAGAGAAGCAACCTGGAATTAAGGAGAAACTTCCTGACAGTGAGGACAATTAACCAGTGGAACAGCTTGCCTCCAGAAATCATCTGTCTGAGATGGTATATAGGTTCTCCTGCTTGAGGGGGAGGGGTTGGACTAGAAGACCTCCAAGGTCCCTTCCAGCTCTATTCTATTCTATTCTATTCTATTCTATTCTATTCTATTCTATATTTTATATTCTAGCTCTGCAGAGATTGAAATTGTCTGCCTCCTACAGCCCGAAGCTGGTGGGTTCAGAAGTACTTTTACAGTTGTGTTTGTTAAAGATTAAAGCTCTAATTATTACATACAGAACATAGAACATCATCAAAGTTGGAAGGGCCCTTGGAGGTCTTCTAGTCCAACCCGCTGCTCAAACAGGAGACCCCTATATATTCCAGACAAATGGTTTGTCCACTCTCTTCTTAAAAGCCTCCAGTGATGGAGCACCCACAACTTAAAGCGTCCCGAAAGCAATTCTTTCTCCTCTCCTCCATGCCTCTCTTCTCCCCCTTCCTTCTCCTCTCCCACCCGTATCTTGCACCCATTGCTTTTTGTCCCGCAAGCGATCCGTTCACACGTAACACCTTTAACCCGGTTCCTGGACTGACTCATTTCCCGGATTGGTGCAAGACCCAGAACGGACCGCCTTAGCTCCGCTACAAACAAACATTTCTTGCCCAAGTGAATAATCACCGGGATGAACTTTGCAAAAACAGCTGCCTGACTCGCCTCTCTCCAAGCAAGCTTCAACTCGCGCCCTAAGCCTGTCCGCCGCTCCAAAACGCGCATGCGCCGCTCATCTCTTCCCTCCCGCCCTCCCGTTCCAAGCGCCGGTGGGTTATGCGCCTGCGCCCACCGGCTCGACTCCGCGAAGTTTCGCGAACGTTCCCGAAGCTGCCGATCGGCCCCGTCCGGAATGAGGAAGAGGCGGCGACTTCCTTCCTGTCCTGTCAATCACTCAGTCGATCGTGCAGGATCGACCGGCGTTGCTCCTTCCTCGGCCATGGATCTGCTCTGCTACAACCGGGGATGCGGGCAGCGCTTCGACCCGGCCACCAACACGGAAGGTGAGCGAAATTCCCCCCCGAATCGTCGGCTTTGCCGCCTTCCAGAGAGCGGGAACTCTAGTCCCCATGGTCCGCAGCCGGCACGGACGGCAGAGAGCGATGGGATTTGGAGCCACACAGCCTCTCGGGAGGGAAGGAAGGCAGGCAGGCTGTGTTGCGGGTGCTTATGGGGATGGTAGTCCCGCTAGCCTGGGGAGGGCGAAGGGGGTTGTGGGAACTTTGTGGTTGGGGGAAGGTTTAGCCTGCCTGACGGGTTGTGGGGGAGGCGGAAAAACAAAAAATCTCGGAGGAAGGGAGAAGCCTACCAGAAAGCCCCTCGATCTGGGCCCCTCGAAGATGGGTGGACTTCAACTCCCAGAATCCCCCCAGCCAGCCTTTCTGGTTAGGGAATTCTGGGAGTTGAAGTCCACCCGTCTTCAAGTGGCGTCGACTCGGAGCCTCCTTTGGAGTCCGACTTGACCCCTGGATTTCTCTTGACAACTCCGGCTAAACTTGGCAGTGTTTCTCAACCTTGACCATTTTAAGGCATGTGGACTTCAACTCCCAGAATCCCCCCAGCCAGCCTTTCTGGTTAGGGAATTCTGGGAGTTGAAGTCCACCCGTCTTCAAGCGGCCCAGATTGAGAGACATCAACTTGGAGCCTCCTTTGGAGTCCAACTTGACCCCTGGATTTCTCTTGACAACTCCGGCTAAACTTCGCAGTGTTTCTCAACCTTGACCATTTTAAGGCATGTGGACTTCAACTCCCAGAATTCCACAGCCAGCATTGCTGGCTGTGGGATTCTGGGAGTTGAAGTCCACATGCCTTAAAATGGTCAAGGTTGAGAAACACTGGGCTAAAGTGATCTGTGGTGATGTAAATAAAATAAATGTATTTATATGTAAGAGAGTAGGTATACACACCTATGTATGTATGTATGCATGTATGTATATAGCATACTTGTATATGTGTTATGTATGTGTACACTTTTGAGAGCAGGCAACAGAATTTCATTTTTAATGTGTGCCAGTGTGCCCACAGTAAAAAATAAAAAATGACAATAAAGGTGATCTTATCTTAAATAAAACGGAATGGCAGGGTTGCCTTCTTCCTGGATGGTGTTTTGACTTGCCTGCTAAAGTCATGGGTCCTCAACCTTGGCAACTTTAAGCCTTGTGGACTTCAACTCCCAGAATTCCTCAGCCAGCAAAGCTGGCTGGCTGAGGAATTCTGGGAGTTGAAGTCCACAAGGCTTAAAGTTGCCAAGGTTGAGGACCCCTGCGCTAAGTGGGCAGCTGTGGAATTTGGTCTGACTCCATTTGGACTGTCAAGGTCCCCTAAGGTCATTAGTGCTAATCATCGGTGGTAAACTCTATATAACACAGTTTTACAGTGTTCAACAATACAGGAGTGGTCCATAACTGCCTTTTTTAGGATGCTCTTTGACTTCTTCATCTGGTGCACCTCAACACCTGTCTGGCCTACAACCCCGGTAGTCCACTTTTGAGATCTGTAAAAGTTTGCTAGGGATAGTAAAGAAGAAAAGAGAGGAGACTTAATACACAATTGTTATACACAATAGGCTTTCAAGGAATACACAGAAACTTAAGTTGGCTGGTGCTTTGGTCAGCTGGAGGGAGATGTCCTCTTAAGATGTCCCCTGCGGCCAAAAGCTTGATTATTGTCATAATTGTTCATTATCTGATGGATTTTAATTTTTCAGTTGTATGAATCTTATGATTGCTTTACATTCTGTGTTTTTTTTATTGCCATAAACTGCTTTAAATGTTACAATAAGCTGAAATAATAAGTACACATGTGCCTCTCACCTATTGGCAACTCCACAATCCCTGTAAATCAGTGGTTCTCAACCTTTTTAATGCCGTGACCCCCAACCGGTCGTAAGTCGAGGACTAAACCGGTCGTAAGTCGAGGACTACCCAACCGGTCATAAGTCGAGGACTTTCCCTGCCCGGGAGCGCCGCGCATGCGTGGTTCCGCCCCCTGCGCCAGCCGAGGCGTAGCTGGCAAGCGGCAGAGACGGAGCAGGCCGACCACCAGCTGGCCCAGCCCAAGAGAGGTAAGGCACCCGCCGGAAAAGGGGGGAAAAAATGGCGGACAGCCTTGCTTGGCAACCCCTGTGAAATGGTCGATCGACCCCAAATGGGGACGCGACCCATAGGTTGAGAACCGCTGCTGTAAATGATGTTTGACAAGTTCCAGCAGGTGAAAACATGTGGGTTCCTCTGTGCTTTATTAACAGCTTTCCCCCCTTCAGATCTGGATCACTGCACATCCCTTGTAACATAAGATAGCATTTTTTTGTGTGTGAGCATTCTTAGCCCCCTTTTGCATATGTCCAAATGTTTAATTATAACTTCTAATACCTAAACTGAAATCATTGTTAAGTACTTTTTGGAAGTTGCAAATATGTACATGGCTATCTCTTTCTTCCATGTCTCTTTTCAGCAACAGTTTTCACCACATCTTTTTTTACCTTATGATATCTTGTGATAATGTTAAAGAAGAATACTTTGTCAGAAAGAAACTGCATGGATTGAATGGTTGAAACACCAGCAGACTGTGACCAGCAATCTCCTTCCATGTCTTCTACCTTTGGGAAGGCTTTCATTGTTATTTTGCAAGATGTTTTCCCAAACTGGAGTTCTTTGTGGCATGTATTCATCCTCGATCAGTAAAGAATTGGCAACAACATAGCAGAGGGCTAGTGAATGTAATGTACAGTCATTTTTAATGTGTGCCAATGCGCCCACAGTAAAAAAATGACAATAAAGGTTATCTAATTATCTAATTCTCAATATTTATAGTAGCTACTTTCTGTAAAGATGCGAACATTGAATTGGTCAATACTGAAACCTCAGTTGTGAATGTGTTTGTCAGACGACTCAAATCTTTTGCTCTGCTGCATGTGCGTGAATGACCATGAAATCACTACAGATACTGATTGCAGTTACAAATTTTACCAAGTAGGCAAAGTCCCAAATACAGAATCTGTGAATAATCAGAATCTACTATATTTATCCCCACCCCCTTATCTGATGTTTAGATGTCATTGATTGTTTTGCTGAGTTCTTTTTTTTAAAAAAAAAAAAGCATGATCTAAATATTTGTGAGGTAATACTAATATTTCTGCGGAGTTTATATGGTGGTCATTTAAGGAAGAACTTTATTTTTCTTGCACAGTTAATAGTTCAACCCTATTTTAGAACATAGGTTTAAGCAATATGCATGACACTCATGTGGAATGTACACTTATAATGCTTGGTGGGATATGTGTTGTACAAATGAAAGTTTAATGTAACAGAATTATGATTTACTAAGAAAAAAAATCAGTTATATTTCTTTATATAGCAAATATTATTATATAATACACTGTGGCAATAATAACTAAATGACGTTCTCTTTCCCTGAATAGCCTACATTCTAAATTTAGACTAACAGAACCCAGCAGAGATAAGAGAGAGGGAAGGACAATCAATCAGTAGAGAAAAGGAATTTGTAGGGAATTGCAGGCTTTGTTTCACATCTTGAAAGTGTCACTGTTGCATAAGACTAAATTGTTCAGCTAAATACTGCTTCATATAAAGTTACTCACTATTGAGTTTGGCTGAGCTATCTGCTTTTTTTTTTTTTTTAGAATCATGCACATATCACCCAGGCGTCCCTGTCTTTCATGATGCTCTTAAAGTAAGTGGGCAAATGTAAATTATTTCAAGGGCTTTTAAAAAAACTGAAACTAAATCATGTTAATTTAGTTAATTCAAGTGTTTACATGACCTCTTGTCAGTTTACCTGAATGTAGTAAAACTTTCCCCCCCCCCCTAAATTCCTCAAATAACATTGACCTTCGGTATAAATACAGGCTAAATCGTGGGGGGAAAGGTTGGTACATGCAGCCAACTGAATTGTGTGGAATTCTTTTCAGTTTATTCATTTTTGGGGGGCTCAGTCGGGCAGAAAGGTATTTACTAGATATTTTGATTGTAAAGTTAATTAACTTGTTTCATTGCTTAATCAAGCCTTAGTTGGGGCAGTACAAACAGAGATGAAAAGAAATGATGCAACTGAATGACAAAAAAGTAGGAGCCATGTCAAATAACTTAAGAGGAATATAGCACCATCAGATTAGTGTTAAATCTTCTTCTTTGTAGTTCACATGTTTTTTAATAATATTCACCTGAAGCTGGAGAGCAACCATCCTAGATGGGAGGAGGGCTCAAGAAAGGATTCAGCTTGGTCTCCCTAGCTCAGCGGTTCTCAACCTATGGGTCGCGACCCCATTTGGGGTCGATCGACCATTTCACGGGGGTCGCCAAGCAAGGCTGTATGCCATTTTTTCCCCCTTTTCCGGCGGGTGCCTTACCTCCCTTGGGCTGGGCCAGCTGGTGGGCGGCCTGCTCCGTCTCTGCTGCTTGCCAGCTATGCCTCAGCCAGCGCAGGGGGCGGAACCATGCATGCGCGGCGCTCCCGGGCAGGGAAAGTCCTCGACTTACGACCGGTTGGGTAGTCCTCGACTTACGACCGGTTTAGTCCTCGACTTACGACCGGTTTAGTCCTCGACTTACGACCGGATGGGGGTCGCGGCATTAAAAAGGTTGAGAACCACTGCCCTAGCTAAACACAACAGGACTAGGTCTAAACTTCTCCTCCTTGAATCACTTAGACTTTATCTGGTCTTTTCTAGACAAAATTTGCTAGTCTGGGTAGATTCTTGTACTATAGGCAGAGAACAATAAGGTAGCTCTACACGTGTGGGTCTGGTTGTTTGCACCTGACACTCGATAAGATTTAAATGTTCAATGTTGCCATATTTTTATAGGGCTGGTCATGCTGTAAAAGAAGAACAACAGACTTTTCTGATTTCTTAAGCATTAAGGTATGTATTAGTAGCTACGTAGGTTTTATTTACACTATAGTATGATATTAATGCTTGAGTGCCAAATTCAATCAATTAAATTTTCCAGGAAGGTGAACACATGCAAATGCTGGCTGGGTTTATTTAATTTCCTGTATGTGTCCTACATGGCACATTGTGTTTAAATGGAACTCTTACTATCTAAGCTTTTTAAAGCACAGGATCTCTGCTGTCCTAACATCTTACAATGCGTGAAGAACAGAAGTTGGTGTAGGTGTATATGTATGATAACTCTAGTAAAAAAAATGGAATATCCGTTTAACCAAGCATACAAATTAGAATGATAAAGAATCTGAAGGCTAATAAGAAAGGAGACATTTTCAACTACATCGATAGAACTGAGTAAGAACTGAGTAACAATTTGTATTAAACAATGTTTTTACAACAGGGTTGCACCAAGGGCTTCCATAATAATGAGAAACCCCCTGAACCAGTCAAACCTGAAGTGAAAACTACCTGTGAAGAAAAAGAATTAACTGATCTGCAACCTAAATTTCAAGAGCACATAATTCAAACACCAAAGCCAATAGAAGCAATTGAAAGACCCAGGTAACAATACTACGATAATACCAATTAAAGACTGGCAATAATGTCAAGTCAACTTTGTAGGTTATAACTTCATTTTTGTTATATTTATTACTGGCTGTCTAAGTAAGCATAATGTCTAAGTGTATTTTATTTTATTTTTTTTCCCTGAAGAGAAGAAACCCAAAATATCATTGTAAAGCCACCTCAGATAAAATTGTAAATCTATAATATAATCCTTTTGAATGATAATAGTAACTACCAAGAATATTAATATGAAGAACTCTTTTTTAACTTCTTTTAAATATTCAAAATATTAAGCTGTTGAGACTGAATCATTAAAATGATGCATTTTTCCC